AAAAAAAAAAAAAAAAAAAAAAAAAAGAAGGTCAGTAACGAGGCAGGTTCGGCATCATAGGCTAGGAGACAGTGGTGGTTTAAAGCACCAGAACACCACATATCGGCCCACGGGTGTCACCATGAAACCCGGACCACTTCGGAGGCCACCAATTTTTTTTTTCAACGGGGGGCCTGGCCGCGCGGCGCCTCCCAGTCTTGCTTGTGGCGATATAAACTTTCTGCAAGGCTGGGGCCGTGTACTACGTTCTTAACCCAAAAAAAAACGTACGTACGTTCTATTCGAATTACCTCTGGAAATCGGGTTTTCAGAAATCGCTTGTTTTTCCCCGAGTAGAATGTACGTTCGAATATAACGTACGTATGTTGTATTCGAATTTTCGGAAGCTTGATTTTTCAAACATAATCAAAAAAATCCAAAAAAATAAATTGTTATACAACAATGCAATACAAACAACTTTTGCCTGAGGGTCTTACTGAAATTCACGAGAAAATTCGAGAAAAAAATAAAAACGAGGATGAAAATGTTTTTAGTAAATTTTTACTGATTTTTTCAGAATTTCGATTTAAAAAATCTTCAGTAAACAATCCGAAAAAAAAAGTATGTTGTACAACATGGTGCATTGAACCCAGTCTAATAGATACTCAGAAGTCGTCAATCTACCGTAGTTTCAATATCTGCATGAAAGTCTCCAGATCGTGAAGTGATATCTCAAACAGTAACTCATTATCAAAAAGCGAAGAGAGTGGAGGGAGAATAGACAAAGGTGAGGAAGAGAGAGCACACAGTAATAAACCCTTCAGATCCCTCTCCTTCTCCGGGCTTCTTTCCACACCACATCATCAATGATAATAAGTATATTCTTGATCACCCTCAATAGTGCCACGTGGCACTTTATATCATGAAGACTCCGAAGACAGCAGATTTCCAGTGACGACGTCAACCGTAGGTGAGTACCCGATTCCCTACATCCACAGATCCCGATCTTCCTCCTCCTCACAACCAGTCACCTCATGTAGACAGCGTGGACAATGACACATCAGCAGCAATCGAAACAGGTGGCATTCGCCACATCATCAATGTTGACCAGTAGCAGCGCCACGTAAACCAGAGGCAGCGCCACATCAGCATGCCACGTAGACTAGAGGCAGCGCCACGTATACCAGAGGCAGCTCCACGTCAGCATGACATGTAGACCAGAGGCAGCGCTACATCAGCATAGCCTGGCACACTGAGAAAGCGGCAGCATGCTGCCTCCACCTCGTGCTGTCGCCTGCAGTGCCTGTGCACAGCCAGCATGTAGCCAGCGTCTAGCCAAAGTCGAGCCAGCATCAAAGCAGCATAGCAAGACTGAATGCCTTGACTTCCGCGAGGCCAGCCTTAAGTAGTAGTCAGCATGGCTGTCTGGCCTCGGTGCATTTCCCCTCAGTCATCCAGATTGACTCACAGCTGAAGGCCCGGATTGTACAGTTGCAGACTTCTCCCTTGGACTGGATGCTATCTGGGTACCTGCATACAAACAAGTGTGTATGCTTGACCTGTGGCCTGGGCTAGGTACCTTTGGACTTTGACTGTTGGGTGGAACGACAGTTGACCAAAGTCAACTGTCACACACCCAGGCCCTGAATTCGTGAAGGGCCTTTTCTGCCCTGGTTCGGCCTGGGCTGAGGGCGGCCAAGTAGGCCTTCTGATGGCCCTCAGTTCCACGAGACATATTGCATGGGTTATTGCAATGGCAATGCAAACAACTTTTGCCAGCGGGTCTTGGCGAAATTCCCAACCAAATTTGAGATAAAAATAAAAACAATGGTGGTACAACAGGCTTCTGAAAAGTTGTACCCTAAAACTCGTTCTATAACGTACGAACGTTGTATTCGAATACAATGTACCCCGTACATAGTACTCATAATATTCGTATACAAGGTACGTACATTTTTTTCGGGTTAAGAAGGTAGTGGTTTGAGCAACAGAAGGTGGACACACGTGGTTAGAAATGAAGGCCTTTTTTGAAGTTTTTCCCTTCCTTTTTCTTGTTTTTTTTCTTCTGATAACGTCAACAAATACCCGAGCTAAAAGGTCAAACTAAAGGACTGGCCGGATTGGTAAGGGGGAAAGTGGGGGGGAAGAGGAAGTGCGGATTGAGGGTGGTTAATGAAGTCCTGTATATTCAGGGCTTACAATCCTGGCCAAGAGGAGAGGATTTTTCAGGATGTTGACATTCGCTAGAGGTTACCATCTTTAGGATTTTCAAAAGAGGAGGGCCTGAAGATCCTGGGGTGGCCAAACTTCTAAAGGGGGGGGGTTAGGGGAGGCCTACTACCCTCCTCTCCCCCTAATTCAGGATTTTCACCTCTTCGGGAGACACCAGAACTTTAAGGGGGAGGTGGGGGGGGGGCGCTGAAGATCCTGAAAATTAGATGTGGAACTCGGTGCTGCTTTGCACACCTGCGAATCTGACAGCACAACATTCTTGTAGGGAGGGTCTGTTTCTCTTTTTCTGTTGAGAATGAGAGATCTGAAACCGTTTTCACCTTTCTGCAGTCACAGATGCGGGCCCTAGAGTTCGATCCCCAGACCTCACTTTGCCCATGTACAGTATTGAGTCGACCCCCGAGTGTTTGAACCCGTGATCTGTGTTTTGGTAGTTGTTTGTCGTCTGTCGTAGGTCTGTGTAGCGGTAGGGGTTTGATCTGTAGGTCTGTCGATTAGGAGTCACAGCTCTGTAGAGGCTGTGGCTGTAGATGCTCTGAAAGGTCAAGGTCGTAGCTGCTACAGTCCTGAAAGGTCAAGGTCGTCGCTGCTACAGTACCCGAAAGGCCAAGTCCACAGCCTTCCGGAAGGTCCAGAAGTGGCCTTTCGAAGTGTTAGTCAGAGGCAAGTGGGCAAGTGGTGGGCCTTTAGTCAGAGGCAAGTGGGCAAGTGGTGAGCCAACTGCGTTACGTCGGCAGTGCGACTGCATCGAGTTGGCAGTGCAAACCCATGCAGTCAGCGGCACCGGTCCCAGTCAGTCAGAGTCCCGTCAAGCAAGTACCATGTGGAACTGTGCACCAAGGGCCCGGGAAAGGGGCAGACCGACGAGTTACAGAAGTGTAAATCAAGAGGCAGCGCCCAGCCATTCATTTATTCGCTGCGTAAGCCATGCAGAAGCGCTGCTACAGCGTCTTGTGCGTAGCTTGTGCGAAGGTGGTCTGCAGGTTGCCCGAAGACGAAGTGGGCTGAAGGGGGATCGTAGCCATAGTCAGTAGTGGTAGTGCGGCCAGAGCCGCTGTAGGGGGAAGTTAGACATAGTGTATGTGTGTGGTGGTATTCAGGGTGATCCAGAGTGAGCGTGTGTGAACAGTGGGGTTGGACACTGTGACGAAGGTTGGGATGTTCAGGCGTTGATGTGCCATAGCCTGTTGAAGAGAACTTGCATCTGAACTGTGTTCTTGATTTCCATATCTCTAAGCTTTGAGTGGGCGCCCTGCGCCAGTGTGAATCTCCATCTGTTTGCATGTGTGCGAAGTGGAAAGAAAGCGAGTCTGATTGCAAATCAAAAGTTCAGGCCGGCAAATCTAGTATACTATGTACAGATGATTAGCACAGTAGGGATAGGGGCACCGCTTCAGGAGCAAGAGAGCAACGGTTCAGACGATGAAGAGAGTGGGGAAGAAAGCACCGCTTAAGCGCAAGAGAGCAGGCAGGTAGGACATAAGTTTTTATCTGCTATGTTCAGGTGATGGGGAGAGTGGGGATGAAGGCAGGGAACACTGACGCTCTAAACAGCCCACTGTCATTTGTCAAACCCTCCCATCAGGCAGGAGAGGGAGACGAGCTTCAGGTAGCTTGGGACTCCTTTGAACCCCTAGTTATTTTCCAGTAGGGGTATGAGTGGAATTTGCTAGGGACCCGGTAGTGATTTCCATAAGTCAGCTAGGCCTAGAAGGGTCTGGTAGCTTCCCAGTAGGTCGTGATGGCCAGGCGCAAATGTAGATAGCTTGTAGAGGTAGATTTGGACGCTGCAGGTAGATAACAGTCTGCAATGATATTTCTGCCAAAAGAGGGGAACATCTGGAGTAGGTGGAACACTTGCAGGTGAAGGAGCTTGAGGGTGAAGAAGAACTCCATGGCTATTGAGCAGTGATGGGAGGTACGCGAAACCCTGGGCTGTGGAGGAAGAGTGTTGCATACTCGTGAAACACAGTCATAAGTATGGCACAGATTCCCAGAACCGACCAGATAATACAGAGTTAATACACATACAGCGGAAGAGTTGATACCCATGGACTGACTCTGACCTGACTCAGACTGCAATCGAACACTCTCGATCATGCATCAGTGGTGTGAAAGCCCTGGCCTTGGACATAGAAGAAGGCCAGGGTCTGAGATCATACACGGACGAATGGAGGGACAGGAGAGACGAAGGGAGGAGGAGAGGGAAGATGACGTCAACTCAATATTTCCAAAGATAGTATCTTTAGATGTCAAGAGTAGCGCAAATCCGAAATGTCGCGAACAGAGAGTCTCACAGTGTCTCAGATATCGATCTGACAATGTCAAGGTACATCTTCAGAGGTAGATGAAATCAGATCCCAAGAGAAGTCCTCAGCCTACAGTCTCAATGTCGCTGTCTCCAATATCATCAGAACTCGTAACCATCCTTCATAGCCGTAGTAGTCCAGTAAGAGAACCCAGGAGTAGACTTAGACTTAGAAGGTAGGAGGAGGGGGAGAGAGAGAGAGAGAGAGAGAGAGAGAGAGAGGCGAAGGAAGAAGAGGGAGAGAAGGCAAGGCCTTTCTCCCTGGTACCTGGTTGGTAGCGATGACGCTGCAGCAGGCTTGGCGCTGGGCCGCAGGCTGGGCCGGTGGCTGGCGCTGTTCCAACAGCTGCGCTAATTCCTCCTCGCCGCTGTGCTCAGTCTCTCCTCGCTGCTCGTACTAACGTTGCCGCGCTGCGCTAATCCTGAAGACTAACGAGTAGACTAACCTCCTGTCTACCAAGTTACCAACCTACCTGATTGAGGCTAGTACCCAGCTTATGTAGTACTGGGTCGGCCTTAGGCCTACTGAGTGCCTTCGGGTTTGGACCATTGATCGGGCTCAACGGTTCAGATCCGATTTCGAAATCTGAATCAGTGGCGCCTAAACTGCTCCGCTGGCCGGTCCTACCGATGTACCGGTACCTGGCCTCTACAACTAGCCGTTGGGTCTGGTGGGGTCTAAACGAGGCCTACTGGAACCTAAATTGAACCGACGCCTACCTGGACCTATTTGGGACCGTCGTGACCTGGTACCTAGGCCTAAACCGTGCCTACTACAGAACTGGGCCCTAACTGGGGCCCGTGTGGTATCAATACGCCACACACTCCCCCCCTTGAAGACCGAGCTAACTGCGAGGGCGAAGCTGTCTGTCTGATGTCCGTGCGGGGCGGGCGGGTTGGGCAGCTTCCTTAGCAAGTCGCTGTTTTTCGTACCAACGTGTGTCGTCGAGATCGCATAGCTTGAATGTAACCTTTTACTGCATTGGCTTGTTGTCATGCTTGTGATGAGCGAGGACGAGGTCGACCTCCTGGTGACCATCCATTGATGGAGGGTCGTGTGACTGTCTGCCCGGGAAATCCGTTGTTGAGGCTGGAGTATAGACTGTCAGCTTTGAAGCGTGAAATACTGGGTGGATCGTCAAATGCAGGGGAATCTTGATTATGAAGGAGGGACCCGCGGGGTCGTCGCCAGCTGGTGAAGTGACCTTCCATGGGCCAAACCACTTCGGGAGGAGCTTGCGCGAGATGTGCTGCTCGAGCGTGAATTCCTCGGAGGTGACCCAAACAAGGTCGCCGGCACGGATTGGACATGGGATGCGACGCCGGTTCGCTTGCTGCTGCATACAGAACTAAGCCTTTTGCATATTTACGCGGTCTTTGGCCAGCATTTCCCTGTACTTCCGTGTAGAAGCGGGGGAGCAAGCGGCGTCGATATCGGCAGCCTGTGAAAGCAAAATGTCTGCGAAGATACGACCTTTTCGTCCACCATGGTGCAACTCGAAAGGAGTCACACCGATTGTCGAGTGCACCGAAGTGTTGTAGGCGAACTCGATGTCGGGAAGGCGGTCAACCCAGTCCTTTTGATCCGGGCGGATGAGTGTGCGGAGCATCATCTGCGTAGTCTGGTGCGCACGTTCCGTTTGCCCATCCATTTGAGGATGCCGTGTGGAACTCGATTTCATGTTGGTGCCGGATTCCACCATGAGTGTCGTCCAAAAGGCTGACATGAAACGAGTGTCGCGGTCGCTGACGATGTCTTCCGGAACGCTGTGGCTGCAAAACCAGCCGGTGTGCAAGAGTCGTGCGAGCTTGGGAACCGTCACGTGATACTTGCATGGAAGAAATCGAGCGTACTTGCTCAAACGGTCAATGACCGTGAGAATACCATCATGGCCACGACGATCGCGAGGGAAAGGAATCGGCAATGGTTTCAGTTCGCCGTACAGGAGCTGATGGCGCCCTTTGTTCCGGTGGCAAACTGCACATGACTGAATGTACCAGTTGACGTCGCTGATGATGTCCAGCCAGTGAAATCGCTGGCAGAGTCGTGCAAGTGTGCGTGCGACGCCAAGGTGTCCCGCCAGCCGCGAATCGTGGTATTCGCCAAGGAGGCGAGTGCGCAAGATGCGGTCTTGGGGAACACACAACAAGTCCTTGCCTCGTGTATGGAGAAGCAAGTAGTCGTTGACAATGCGATAATTGCTTGCCGGCGGGTGGTCCGATAATAAGTCCGCATAGAGTGTGGAGAATCCCGGATCCGACTTGTAGCCGTTTACGAAATGTTGTTGCAGGTCCCGTCGAGGCCGAATGTGGAGTGCACCAAGGCGCAAAGATCGGGTCCTCGTGAGAGAGCATCCGCTACCTTGTTCGAAGGGCCAGGAATGTGCTTGGAGGTGAAGTCGAACTGGTCGATAAAGTACATCCAGCGACCGATCGTGCTGCTCACCGTGTCTTGTGTCTTGTAATAAGTCAACGGGTTGTTGTCCGTTGCCCACGTGAATCGCTGACGCCCAAGGAGAAAGTGACGTCAACGCTTAAGTACGGTGACAAAAGCTAGTAGTTCCTTCTTTCTTGCATCATCAAGTGAATTGATGGGGGGCACCTTTTGGTTGAAGTACTCGACCGGATGCCAGTTTGTGTCGTCATGCTGTTCCAAAACCAAGCCAATGTTGTAGCCGAAAGTGTCCGTAGTCACTTTGGTAGGCAAGGTCGGGTCATAGATGCCCAAGACGGGAGCTTGGAGCAAGGTCGTCTTCAGCGTGTGGAACGCGTGTCGGGCTTCGTCATTGAACTTGAAGGGCACCAAGGGGGACTGAAGTCGCGACAATGGTGCAGCGACCCGTTGGAACCCTTTGACGAAGCGCATGTAGTAAGATGCTAAGCCGAGAAAGGAGCAGATGTCGGTGGTACACACGAGGTCCGGCCAATCTTGAATGGCTTGTACTTTGTCTGCGAGCGGACGAATGCCTTGCGGCGTAACGTAATGGCCCAAATACTCCAACTCTTGCTGGGCAAACTCGCACTTGTCGCGGTTCGCCTTGTACTTGGCGATACGGAGCCGCTCCAAAACGGCGCGAAGGTGCTCGTCCAACGACCGGCTATAAACCAAGATGTCATCAAGGTAAATGAGTACGGTGCGGTCGAGCAGGTCGCGAAATTCCGTCGTCATAGCCACTTGGAAAGTAGTCGGGGCATTGGTGAGACCGAAAGGCATGACGATCCACTCAAAGTGCTCATACCACGTCTTGAATGTGGTTTTGTACCGATCTCTTGGCTGGATCTCGATCTGGTGATATCCGGACTTGAGGTCAAGCTTCGAGAAGTACTTGGCGCCGCCTAGTCGCTCGAGAAGATCATCGATCCGAGGGAGAGGGCCGGCGTTCTTGATCGTTTGCGCGTTAAGTTTCTGATAGTCGATACACAAACGAAGGTCCTTGTTGTTCTTTCGGACGAAGAGAACCGAAGCACTGTATGGCGAACAGCTAGGGCGAATCCAGCCCTTGGCCAAGAGGTCGTCTAGTTGTGCCCGAAGCACTTGAAGCTCCTCTTCGCTCATGCAGTAAATACATCTGCGCGGAGGTACGACGCCGTCCTCGAGAGTGATCCTGTGGCGTATGGGCCGATCCGGTACGACTCCAGCGGGAGCTTGAAAGACATCCTCATAGTTGTCCAAAAGCTCAATGATCCATGGGTCCGATGTGTCCGTCTTGGGCTGATCACCAGGTGGGAGGGCGTGAAGAAAAAAACATATGCCCATCTCCTCGATGTCGTTCCGCCGGATGGATTGGCGAATGCTTGCCTCGGAGACCACGTGACAACCAATCGAAGGATGAGGAAGCGGCACCGTACACGGGACTAGTTCCCCACGCCGATCACAAATATGAGCGGTGCGTCGATAAAAGTTCACCGGATGGTCTTTGCTTTGCAGCCATGACATGCCTAAAATCATGTCAAACTTAGTGTCCAATATGTCAAATGACACGGCCTCGCATGCTAGCGGGGCACAGTACACGGGCACGGAGTCAAGGCAACGGTCGATTGACTTTTGCATGTGACCATCGGCCAACGTGACGTGCGTAGGCTGACTTTTCCTTCGAACGCGCGGGCCTAGCCCGGCGCGTGCCATTAAGTCTTGGCTGATGTAGTTGCGAGACGCTCCACAAGCGATCAAGGCACTGCAGGTCGCCTTTCCGATCTGAATGCGGATGTAGAGGAGCGGCGCATCGATGTCGACGTACCGTGGCGTTGAGTGCTCGCGGTCGATCTTCGCAAGATAGCTACTCCGCTGTCCATCGACGGAGGTGATACTGCAGCGTGCAAGTATTCTTGCAAATGTGCCATCAAGGCATTGCAATGCGGTGTTGGCAAAGAACCGGTGGAGGGAAGAGGCAACCATTGGATGTCCTCAACCGTCAACGGGTCGAGTTCCTCAAGACTCGCCCAAGTTGATGGATCCTCCGATAGAAGGGTTGGTGAAGCAACCGGTTCGTTGTCCGACGATGGTAACACCGCGCATGCGCTTGAATCTTACACGTGGAGAGGCTGGTTCAACGGTGGGACCAGCTCGACAACATAGTTCTCGAAGTCAATCCGAGAACTTGCGACTACCGCATCATCCCCGGACGTGAGAGAGACTGCTAGCAAGGCAGCCGAGTCCGACGGATTGGGAAGTGATGTCACTGCACTTCCCGCGGTGCTCAGTTTCCCGAGTTTGGACGCTTGACATTTTCTTTGTCCTTGTCGAGGCATGCGCTAGTGATGTGTTTGGTGTTGTTGCACCATAAACAACATCCCCATTTCTGTCTCAATTTGAACATGTCTTCGGTAATACCGAACTTCATCCATGGTGACTGTCGTGCTCCATCCGCCGACGCTGGTTTCGCTTTATGTTTTCCCCCTCGGGGTCTTGAGCGTTGCGGTGGTATCGCTGCCGCCACATCTCCGTCACTTGATGTTGAAGCTGCAGCGTGGTCCTCACTAGATCCTTGCTGGATCGCTGCCAGTTGCTGCGTCCGCTGACCTTTTCCTTTCTCCACGTAATCGGGCTGTTGTCGGGCCTCATTGGCCGCGCGCCACTTACCTTGTATGAGTTCCCTTGCCTTTGATATCATCTCATCAAAGGTCTCATATTGGAATTCGCTGCCAAGGGCAGCTGTCAAGGCATCGCAAGAGCGGGCGAAAAATTCGGCCCAGATTGCGTCGAATGGCAGGTTCAACTCCGGGGTGGCGACGAGTCTTTGCCACTCCGTCAGCCATTCCTGTGATGGTTGCTGCCCTTGAAACATGGGAAAAATCTTGTTCAAGGCGTGACGTTTGTCGTTGTTGACCATGAACCGGGTCTTCCACTTCTTCTCGAACTCCTCCCACGTGATCTTGGTGTGGAGGGTGGCGATGGTGCATTCCAACGTGACAGCCATGTGCATCGTGAAAGCTTGTGCGCCTCCGATGAATTGGAGGTAGAGTGCGTCAAGCCGCCGTAGTGGTGGGGTATGATGTACATCTTCCTCCGCCTTGAATGCCATCGACCATTGCAACAAATCAGTCTTGTGGTAGTCATCGAACTTCTCAATCTTGAAGTTCGGCATCTTCCATTCCTTGAAGGTGGCGTCCGTTCGTTGTTGAACGCGGTCGCTGAGCGTCTGCAGCTGATTGCTGACCGTAGACGTCCCAGCAAATGTGCTGATGTCGCCAAGGGATGCGACTACGCTGTTGATCCGCTCCTCAAGTTGCTTGGCCTGTGCGGCCAAAGCTGGGCTGCAGTCTGCCACTGCACTGCCTGTCGAATCAACTGTTCCTGCGTCCGAAATGTTGCTTCGTGGCGGATGAAGGTCTGCCGCATGGCCAGCAGCTTGCGTTGCTGCCAATTCCACGTGTACAGCATGTGTTCCATTAGTACCGCTATTTCCTCCTTGCTTCTCTCTTCCTCGGTTGGCTCCTCTTGTTCTTCGTTCGCTCGAAAGTGCTGTTGTCGAAGTATCCTCCGGTACGTGGCTTCTTCGTTGGCGAGCTCCATTGTAGCCTGGTAACGAGCTTGATTCTGACTTGCCTCGACCTGCTGCTGTTGCAACAGTGCGGCTGCTGCCGCTTCTGCTTCGGCCTGCTGACGTGCTGCCTCGGCCTCTGCCACCTGTCGTTGGATCGCCTGCTGGCGGGCGTCTTCTTCCTGTTCCCATTTGCGAAGTTCAGCTGCAATAGTCTCTGAGTATAACTGGAGACGTTCAAGAAACGCCAGTAGCGTTTCATCTGCCTGCTGAACTGACATAGGGGGAGTGGCTGGCCTTGCAGAGCTGGCTTGTGAATTTGCGTCAGCGGTGGCGGCCATGGTCGTGTGTCGTCTTCGCGGGATCCGAGGTGTCTTAGGTCCTTGTTGGAGCTTGGTTTCCCTGGATCTGCGCTCAGCAAGTCGTTGACTGCGGCGCACAAAGTAGTCCTGTCTTCGTCTGCTGCTGACGTGTCGCTGCTGAGGTGGCCGTGGCTGATTTGGCAATCTGCTGTCGTGGTACGCTGGGTGGCATGCTGCTGATGTGGCAATCTGCGTTTGTGGCACCCTGCTGATGTGGCACAATGCTGACGTGGGACAATGCTGACGTGGCTGGAGACTGAAGTCCGCAGTACCGAGAGGAGGAGAGAGAAGTTAGGGGTGGAAGAAGGGAAGGGAGGCAAACAATGCACAGACAGTCCCTTTCTTCCCTGACCTCGAACTTGACGCTAATCAAAAAAAAATTCCCCACCACGAAAATTTCGAATTGTGAGAAATTAAATATGTAATTATTTAATTAAATAAATTTTAATCAGAAAATACGAGTTAATTGAATAAATTTTATTTTTGGCAAAATATTAAATATTTAATTAAAGAATATTTAAATTTGCAACAATTAATTTTGCAAAAGTTAAATATTTAATTAAAGCATATTTAAATTTGCACCACTAAAAATGAATAAAGTTCAAGCAAGGTTAAACATTTAAATTTTAAACATAATTTTAATAATTTCACGAAATTTAATCGGGAGATATTAGCATCATTACGAGGTCATGAAGTAAGTAGAAGATCAATGGTAGTAGGAAGATACACAATTTGCTGTAAAGATTCAACCTTTAATCGCAATAAAAGATGCGTTTTGCAAAAAGTGAAAGTTCTGTGAAGCTGCAGTTTGAATGTGGCCGTGCTCAGGCCCGATCTGCCTTAATTGGTGCGGTGCCTGGCTGGCACTAACTTCCCATAGGCTTGATAGGTCATTAGCTTAGGTTAGGGCTAACCCTAATTAGCGCTAATTAGATTAATCATAACCATCCTTCATACCCGTAGTAGTCCAGTAAGAGAACCCAGGAGTAGACTTAGACTTAGAAGGGAGGAGAGAGAGAGAGAGAGAGAGAGAGAGAGAGAGAGAGAGAGAGAGAGAGAGAGAGAGAGAGAGAGAGAGAGAGAGCAGCGGATCCCCTTAACACGGCTCAAAGGGCCCATGCAGGCAATCTGGAGAGAAGACAAGGCCTTTCTCCCTGGTACCTGGTTGGTAGCGATGGTGCTGCAGCAGGCTGGCGCTGGGCCGCGGGCTGGGCCGGTGGCTGGCGCTGTTCCAACGTCTACCAACCTACCTGACTGAGGCTGGTACCCAGCTTATGTAGTGCTGGGTCGGCCTCAGGCCTACTGAGTGCCTTCGGGTCTGGACCGTTGATCGGGCCCAACGGTTCAGATCCGATTTCGAAATCTGAATCAGTGGCGCCTAAACTGCGCCGCCGGCCGGTCCTACCAATGGACCGGTTCCTGGCCTCTCAAACTAGCCGTTGGGTCTGGTGGGGTCTAAACGAGGCTTACTGTTACATGCACAGATATGTGATGTTCGTAATAACCGAGGAACTGCAGTGTGATAAAAAGGACTGAAATGGACAATGCGGTGAGAGTAGAATCTCGACAGACAATGTGCATTCTCATACATACAAAAGTGCTGAATAGCGCAGGGAAGACTTAGATACAAAGACTGACCTGACAAGGACTGACCTCACACACGTAGTACAAGTAGCGAAGCAGAATGCTAGAATACCAATCACGAGCCCAATCAATGTTTGAACTCAGACTAAA